TTATTCTTGAAAGGGAAATGCAGTGAATGCAGGGGAGGCCAATTTGAAAGGGAAAAAAATGATTCAGAAAGGGGTTTATATTTTTTTTATTATTAATAAATTTTCTGTTGGTTATATTTGACACAAGTTATGTCGATTTTAGAGTATTTTCTGTCGGTTTTATCCAATTGAGAATACTCTTATTTATTCATTATTAATAAGTTCTCTGTCGATTATATTCGACACAATTTCTGTCGGTTTTAGAGTATTTTCTATCGGAAAATTCATTTTCTGACACTGGCAATTCTGTCACTTATTATATCCGCCATTGGATCCATTTTTTGTCGGATTTTGCTTAATATCCGACAGTATTATATGTTTCTCGTCTTTTATTATAGCGGCACTAATAAAGGGTTTTGTAGTAGTGGATGTGGAGATTGAAGCTAATTAGAGAAATGAATGACCACCTCTTGCAAAATGTGCCCACATGATATACATAATCATTACGATCTTGATGGCACGGTACTTGATGCTGCACATCTGAATTCGAAATGACTCTTCTACTCCACAAGAAATTGGATCACTACATAAAGAAAGAGCACGTAGTTCAGTTTTGAAAGACATGGTCTTTGATAACTATCCATTCTCAAAGGGAATAGGTTGTTGTTGCCCTCATCCTCTTCCGGGGCAATAGGTGAAGTCTGAGCGACTTTACTGGATGACCATGTTTGTTCCGCAAGGAAAGCGATCTGATCCGGATATGGACTCAATCAGATCCTTATAAGTCTTGAGGTTCCTAAAATCCAGTGACACACCTCGATCCCAATAACACAACTTACGAGGCTGTGATGTGCTGGCTGACACTAAATTGACCATATGACCCCATCTGGAGATGATGTCACAAGCTAACTTAATGACGAAGCCATAGCAAGATATTTATGATGTGTAAGAATTTGAACCAAAGACGTTCATTAAAAATAAAAAATCCAAAGCTGCTACAAGAAATCACTTGTAATCCTCCTCAATTGGGGACACAAATTAACTCGAGTTTAAACATGTTATTATCACATCACATTAGAGTAGTTAGAAGTTTCACACAATGATAATTGCTCAAAAGTATGTTTAATGCCCTTTCATTATACCTGTTATGTAATTTATCTAGTAATTTATGGAAATTGTGGTGTAATATTGGTCAATGATGAGTGCATACCTTATTTCACCCTGGAAGTTACATTTTCTGAGAATATGTTGGATTTAAGTGAAAGGAATTATATGACTTTGTGTTGTTATGGTCATGCTAAGGAATTGGACCAAAATCATGTTATAAATCCTTTGTTTTAATTTAATCAGGTGGTCTAATTTAATTTGAGCGCCTTATGACATTGGTTGAAGTATATAGTTCACTTTTTGCGGTTTACAATATACATGAGGATTGATATTCATTTTATCTTGATCTTTTTGTCAGGTCACTTATTACAATTTCTTAGAAGTTAAACGGTGAGATGAAGAAAGGAAGATGGGGCTGCAACAAGTTAACCCAAGAGGCAAGGATAATAAATTGGTGATTAAGCTTGTCAGGTATGGAAAGAAAAGGAAACAGACATGGGAAGGCAAAGAACAAGGAACGGCTGAGATATAATTGGCTCAATAATGGGTTGATATAAATGACCATTATTCAAGAGGGTTATGGGGGTTGGCTGCGGCAATCTCAATATAACCATGCAGTCTTGTTCTTTCATAACTTTTAGAGTTTCTTATTTTTCTATATTGTGTTATATGGAGAACTAATCTCCCTAGCTAAGACTAGGAGGAAAACCTTTAACTACTATGTGGTTTTATTAGTTTGATTCGAATTGCAGTATCAACGATAAACTCTTATTATTGGTTCAAATTAATATCTAGTTTTTCTCTATTTGTCGATTGATGAATGTTGGTTACTATTCATAAGTTCAATCATGTTTTTCCTATAGTTTGGTTTTAGCATTCATGCTTTTGTGATTTGAGATAAATGAGTAGATATCTAGTAATTTCGACGGAAGTATTTGTTGATAGTTTGCGCTGGAGGTACAGGTTATGCTTGGAATTCTTCCTATAAGGAATTCAACTGAGTTTATTGGGATTAACCATAGTTAGAATTTGTATATTTTGTGTGTGTTTTATATACAATTATGATCGCCAAATCATCCAATCGGGTGCACTATATGTTGCTGATGCGTAAAATTACTTGACACACAAATTAAAACCCTCTTTTTGACAATTGTAGTATAGATGTAAGTAGGGTATCGTTCTAGGCCGGGGATTAGGAGGGATTGCTAATCTATTCTAAATTAATTTAAAAATATTAAACAAGACTCAAGGACACAAAACTAGGCTAAAAACTCTAATAACTCGAAACACACTTAGAATGACTCAAAATAATGAAAACAATCAAATTAGACACTAGGAACTGAAATTGACGGAAATTGAATTAAAAGACTAACAACAATGAAAACTAACTAAATAATATAATTTAATAATGGGGGGGGGGTTTGGTTTTGACGAGAAGTAAATTAAACTTAAATAAATTACAGAATTGACAAAAGCATGAAATTAAGGTGAAATGATAAGTGACGGATTAGCTAGAGGGTTCTTCTCCACACATGACACATATGCAACCTAAATTGATTTTCAGTTGTTCTTTCAGTAAATTGTAAATCTCAACGCCCCAAATTAACCGTGAATTGCACTAATTAACCCTCAGTTTTCCACAATATTATTGGGTTGGATGATTGCATACGACAACCCAAAACATTCCCTACAAGTTCCCTACATGAATTGCATAATAGAGATACAAGCAAGAATCATTAAGTTCTATGAAAAACATAAGCATTGACGAGACACTCGTTACTATGATTTGCATGAAACTTATGCCAAGAATTTACTTAACGTGATTGTGACTAGCAACCTTCACTACTTGTGAATATAAGTTCATAACGATTAGGTGAAATTCACTTATATTCTAGCATCAAATTCATGCATGTAAATTAAGTATGCATCCTTAATCGACATACAAAAATAAGTTATAAATCAAGCAGTTAAGCAAATTAAATCACAACTTATAAATCACAATTGAAGGTAATCAATTCATATTACAAATATATTCATGGCTTTGAATTAACCTCTAGCCAAAATAAATTTAGTTACACATTATTTTCAAATTAAACCAGAAATTAAACATGAGTTTGAGAAAATATACGACCCTTTTGTTTTTCTTCTGCTGCACGTTCTGCCCTCAGTCCCCGCTTGTCAGCCGTGCCTGGCGCTGTGCTCCCCCTACTCAAGCTGCCAAATGGCAGCTTTCCTCTGGACTCTCTCCTATCCGTGCTGCTCTCCCCGTCAGTCTATTATATTTTCTTCTGAGCTGCCAAAGGCAGCTTGGCTGCTTCTTTCCGTCCCTCTCTCTCCGCGCTGTTTTTTCTACAGCTGCCACGGGGCAGCTCTCTGCTCTAGTTTTCTGCTGCCGCAAGGCAGCTCTCTCCTCAAGCTCTCGGTTCTCTCCCTGTTCTCACGCTCCCCAAGCAGCCTTTTCCCCTGGTCAGTTTATTCTCCCCTTTCCGTGCCCTCTGACCTGCCTCTTATCCCTTTGTTTTATGATTTTCTAAGTTGCCTCACCCACCACACTCACACTTTTCTTTTATTCTTCTCTCACCTACCACACTTACCAGCTTTTAGATATATCATATATATATAAATGTGATGCACCAACCTGAATTCAGTGGATATGGAAGTATATCATCAGTGGGTATGGAAGATGTCACGCCATATAATTTCTAATGCATACCTAACAAATTTAGCCTAACTTCCATGACCTATAATCCGTGACATAATTCTACCAATAACCCATGACAGAATGAGAACGACTAAAGCAATTTTCGACGAATTTATTATTTAAAACTGATTTGTGCCATTTTTATAACAAATCCTATAAACACAAAAATAACGTAAATAGCTCAAAAATATAAGGAACTAACTAAGAAAAGACGAGTGAATTTGAAGTAAAAATATATATAAATATGATCCGATCAGTTGAATCTTGATTGAGTTATAAAAAGAATCAAATTAATGAAATTACATATGTATGTTGAAGGTGGAACTCTAATGTCTTAGTGCTCTTATATTATTGGATTTTCTTTTAAAAAATTACATCTTATTCAACATTATTCTTTGTTTCAGTTTCGACAAATTCTTCATTCTTTTTCATTGCTCTCTGAGGAATATGACACTCGGACTTCGAGTTATACTGCTATGCAACACCTGCACTTGGGTTTAGCAAGCACACAACATTAAACACACAAAAGTGCAGCACTATGCATAATCAAAGGTACGATCATACCATTATTACACCATAGGTAAAATTGCAGTAAATGAACCGTCACTCAAGATCCAGAGGATGAAAGCTTCACTGCCAAGCCCACTCGTCACCACTGATGTTCTCCTTACTCTCGTTATGTCCTGAAGGGGTTGATAAAACAAAACATGTGTCGACCCGTTTTATCATAGTTATAAAATCATCATTCAACATAATAACCCAGCCCTGTTTTGAAAACATATATTATATAATAATAACTACTTCCATAATAATGAAAATCTCATCAATATCTACAATTGAAAACATTCAATCCAAGTTCAGAAATCGTACCTTAACTCAATCATACTGGCTTCCACTAGCATAAGTATAGCAAGCAGGATATACTATCGTCAACTAGCTAAACTCAATACTACTAATAATCAATAATCCTAGCGTCTACTAGGATAAAATATCACCTGCAAATAATCTACGGTCGAAGATACCTATACAAAATATCACATGATGACCATGTCATGAAAATAAATCACCAACGATCGATCTAAAGATATTGTCAAATATCATAACAAGTCTCATCAGAAACTAACATAGTAATATGTATCCGCATATAAAACATATATAACATATATATATATATATATATAACGTAAAATGTTTAGTTTTCGAATGGGTCCACTCACAGGTAAGCAGAGCGTCCCTTGCCACTAGGCTCCTTGCCTAAATCCTTTCGATCCACGAATAAACCTGTAATAGTTAATATAAGCTAAATCAAGCTTCAATCATCAATTTATGGGACATTGCCCAAAACTACCATTTAGGTATAAAATTTGTGCAAACGGAGGGCACCACGTGCCTATTTTCACTTTGAATGTCACAGATTTATCAACATTAATTGATCAACAAGGACTCATGTGATGTCATGGATTGCTACATCCACTGTCTATGTACCAAACACTAGGTTTGTTCTTCACAACCTCAGATGAATGACAAGCATAGAACATTGAAGCCTTTTCTTTCACATGCTTAGTATGATGAACAAGTCGATTCACCTTGCTATTGCAGTCATTTGTCATATAACCAAATTGTTACATCTATGACACTTTGGCTTATCATTGAACCAACAAGTACCATAGTGTAGCTTGTCACAATGTTTGTATACATCCTTAGCATTCTCCTTATTTCCACCATGCTTGACAAATGAACTAGTTCTATCACCAGTTTTAAATTCTCCCTTCTTCTCCTTATTCTTCCAAGGCATATTTCCTTTGTACCTATTTTCTTGTTAGCTATGTTTGGAACATATGAGCAAACTACTAAAAGCTTTCTCAGTGATTTCTTTCTCCTGATCATGCCTAAGCAACTTTTGCTCAAATCGTTTTGAAGTGGCGACAACCTTAGTAGGATTAATCTCGTCAAATTTCTTAGTCCCCTCAAACCCAAAGACAATATTGGCACTGTTAAGAGTAAGGCTTATTAACAATTTTTCAACTATTCTCTTGTTTGACAACTCCTCATCATACACTTTCATTTGGTTAATCAGATTAAACATTCTAGTCAAATAAGTGGATAGCATCTCATCTTTTCTCATTCTAGCGTATTCAAAATCCCTTCTAATACCTTGTAAATTCACATCTCGAACCTGAGAATCACCTCTATACTTTTGCTTCAAGGTGTCCCATGCATCCTTAGCCATCTCTTGATTTGTAAGCCTTGGAAAGATTCATCAAATATTGCACTCTGAATCAATCCGGCCAAGAGCTCTAGCATCACGACAAATCAGATCCTAAGCTACAATTTGCTTCTTCTCAATCTGTTAATTTCCAGTTTCTACGGGAAGTTCATAGCCTTCTTCAACAATCTTCCACAAATTATGAGACTTGAAAGTCGTCTTTATCTTGATACACCAAAAGTCATAGTTGACTTTGGTGAACAACGTAGCTTGAACCTTATCTCCAGATCCAAACATTTTGCTACTCAATCCAACTGGTTCTTCGTTGGACCTCAATCAGATTCAAATTTCACAGTGAATGCCCCTTGATTCAAATCGAACCAAACTATGAGGCCATGTCGTTGCTTATATGATGAATGTATTGATTATTTTAGTAAATAGAAATGCAGAAATTTTCAGAGAAAGGAAGTGTTTAGGTTAATATTTAACTTTGGATTTAAAGGGAAGGAAGCCCAAATGAGCTCAATAGAGGAGATTTTGCCCAAGGCCCAGAGTCACGCCCAGATACCTATCTCGAGACAATATGATGGCTCCCCATTTAATGCAAAGGTTAGGTGCTTACAAGGGAAGTGACAACCGATAGAAATCAACCAACTCTCAACCCAAAAGCACTTTTCTGAATGGTAGAACATGTAAAAATGCTGATGACTCACTACCCTCCAGTTGCTTTCGGGTAAAAGCAGAAACAACATAGTCGATCTAATTCGCCTATAAATAAGGGAAGAGGGCTCAAAGACAAGGACACTCAACCAATCAAACAAACAAATATACAACTTTCCTCTCAGTCAAGCAAATATCCAGAAAGCTGTGCTTTGTCCAGATTCTGCACCCTTTTAGCCTTAGACTTCCTTTAGAAAGACATCTTTTGTCTATGTAAAAACTCTTCTACCTTCTCCAAATGTTGTAGTATCGATTCTCTTGTGCAAACTCATTTACCTTTCATCCCTCTTTCAGTACCTAACCCTTTAGAACTACAACAACAAAGAGATTGCAAGACGTTTAACCTTGCCTGACAAGGTAAAATCTTGCCCGTCTCTCTTTGTTTTGTCTTTCAATTAATAGATTTGTTGTTATAATGTATTCCCCAGTACATATTCAAGTCATTTTCAGTCATTTGATGATCCAAAGTTCCATCAGTTCTCAGATCTGGTTCACTTAGTGGTTTTATTGTCATAAGAAGATTAAAACTGATTAAAACTGATGACTTGATCAGATCTTGATCTCCACCCTTTAAGCATACAAGATAAAGAACTAAAAGTCCTTGATCTCAAGGCATAGAAAAGAACTTAATGTAGACTTAACTCATCTACGATAATCCTTTGATAACAAGAAGTCATAGTAACTTGGGACGCAAGTAATCGGCTTAAATACACTTGTTCTACATCTGCCATACAGAGATGGCAGTGGCATGCCTTAGCACTTAGTTTTGATTGTAAGCCTCAAGGCCTACACTTAAGGCCCCACAAATGCACCTTTCAGAACTAACTTTGTCCTCCTTTTACAGCATCTCGGCAAGCCAGATCCTGACAATCAACCAAAGTGCCAACTCCTCGGGGAGCTGTGTACTTGAGCTAGGGACCCCTCCCTGCGAGATTTCCTGCCCGAGCAGGAAGGAATGGAGGTTCATAGCTCTCATTGTTTCATTGACAGTAAAGTTGGCTTACAATTCTGGTGTGAACGCAGATCCGAGAAGCATGGAAAAACAAGAGACCATTGGAGCTTCACACGCTCCACACGTGACATGGATCCAAAGCATTCTCACGTGGACTGCACATGTTCAGTTTGCACAGCTGCTATGACAGATGACAACTTTTACACCATTCAAATATTACAATCATAGCCGTCTATTAAACTTGGATTGCATTTATAAAACTTCAAACTAAGACTCTGAAACATGCTTGTGAATTGCACTCTGATGCAACCCTGCATCCTGGATTCCTGCAACAATCCTTACTCTAGAACATTTTAATGTAATCAATGAGTTTTTGTTCTTCTTGTTTAGACAAAGCTCCTTTGTTTGTGCCTTCTTTTTCACAGCAAGGTTTTCTCGTTCTGCACGAGAGAGAGAGAGAGAGAGAGAGAGGAGGCCCAGGTAATGGCAGAAGATTGGGCGTACATATAGTAGTCGATCGATGGTGAGGTGGGAATTACAGATGGTGGACCTGGACTGGTGGTTTTGGCTGTTTAGGTGGGCCTCACGCACAATGTCACAGATTGAAGAAGATAAGGTCGCTTGTGTGCTCGCCTCCCTGTAGACTTTATAGTTTTTTCGTAAATTTTAGTGATCTTATTTGACAAAATTCTTTCTGCTTCATTAATTTTCTCAAATTTTATACTCGGTTCCAGATGAGCCCTAAAGAAGATTCAATCTGCAATGGTATAAATCTGTGATTGAACTTATAATTAAGATGTTACTATTGATATTATGGAGAGGGAAAAAGGTATTCAATCATTGTGTTTGAATATCATGTTTGAATGTGAGCATAACTACAAGTGTATTTTTGGCTAGATAGTTGAGTTTAAATTGGTTTAGAAAAGTCTTTTTGTAAGAGGCTTGGATGTCTTATTTTATATACGGTTGAAACTGAGCTAGATAGTTGAGTTTAAATTGGTTTAGAAAAGTCTTTTTGGAAGAGACTTGGATGTCTTATTTTATATACGATTGAAACTGAGATTGAATCCTAAACTACTCACTTATATTAAAATTGAGGGACAATGTTGGTTTCCTAGAATGATTCTAATAGAAGAATCGAAGAGACTGTTTGTCTGTATAAATAGTGGTCACTACTTTCACAGGAAAACCAGCTCATTATTGGACTAGGAATTTTGACTTTACCAACAAAATTAGTTTGTTGGCAAAAGTAAAAATTGTAGACAAAAGTCAAAATTTGTCAGCCATTTCCTTGTGTGAAGCATGTAGCGCAAGAGTTTTCCCGATGAATTTTGGTACTCCATAGGCTTAGGTTCAACTTTTTCGATAGACTCCATTTTGTTGGGATTTCTATTTTTCCCAACAAATATTTTCATCTGTACAAGGCTTTCTAGCCAACAGATAATGCGTTTTTGCCATATGTGGTTTTTTTTCTTTATCTTTCAACCATATGTGTTTATCGCCATGAATATTTCATTGGCATTATTTTCTCTCTCCCAACAAGTTGGTTTCATCCGGAAGACATTTAATTTATAAAAAAGAACAATAAATGCTTTAATGCTCAACTACTACATATGTATATAGAAATATTGACACGCCCGACCCTAATATTCTCCTAAACACCAGGGTAGACACGTGCTGACCGACTCCCGAAGGTGACGAAGCCATATTAGAATGCATGAGAACAAGAAATAAATAAGACTTATAAATTTCAATGTAATTAATATGCAAATGAGGAACGTGTTCAGAGTATACAACTAATTCTATACACTAGAAAAGAAATAATATAAAATTGAATGAATAAAAGGATGGGTCCTACACCGAGGGGACTCGAAGATGCCGATGTGGAAGTGCCTTGACGCCAGGATTGTATGCCTCAATTCTAAATCCTTAGCGGGCACAAAACAAACATGAGTGGACCAAGTTTATATATATATATATATAAACTACTGAAACAGTTATCAACGTACTAACTCCCAAAGTTTTATTAAAACTCAATAGCATAATATGTAATACGTTTTCCGAAAACCCTAGCATGCCATAAAACCTTCATAAAACATACAACATATATAGTGTGCTAAGTAGTGGTATCATAGTTGCTCGTAATACTAACATCTCCCGGCCCGAAGCCAATAAATAAGTATCTTTGCCCGTAGGCAAAACAATGACCACTAGATAAGCACAAAAACATTGAATATACTCTTTCCAACGTAAATCCATATATCTCAAAAAACATCTTTATAGCATATAGTCATCCATCATATATACTACAAAGAAGTGTAAAAACATGTTCATAAATAGTATATAGTCATCCATCATATATACTATAAAGAACATAAATTCGATATAAAGAACATAAATTCAATAAAGTATGGTATTCCAAAATATTCTCAATAAATCATGATAAGCATAAAGTGTAAATCTAATTTACTCATAAAACAATTTACAAAACGTAATCATTAAATCATACTTTTCATGTATGCATTTCTAATATTAAAACATGCATTTTGAAGGGGTGCACTCACAGATACTTTGCCGTCGAAAAGCCATGCTATTAGTGAAGACAAAAACGCCACAATTAATTGCACCTAAGCACACAAAGGGTCCAATTAATAAAACTACACTCAAATGATTGAATTTGGTGCTTGATAGGAGCATATTTATGCGACTTAGTTAGCTTGTTCTTGTGCATTTATATTGTTATTTCTTAGTCAATTATGTATTTTAAGCTGTTTTCGTGTGTTTGTAGGTTCAAATAACAAAGTTAGCAACAAAGTGCTATTTGGAGCATTTTGGAGCATTTTTGGGCCAAGATTGGATAGTGCAAGCATGGAGACATGAGGATGGACATTTTTGAAGATTTGAAGGCTAGAAATCAGCATGTGTGTGTGCAAGTGTGTTGACCTACAACTCCAAACATCCATCCACTACACCCATTACATCCACTCATTACCAAACATCCATCCACTACACCCATTACATCCACTCATTACCAAACATCCACTCACTACACCCATTACATCCACTCATTACCAAACATTCATCCACTAAACCCATTACATCCACTCATTACCAAACACTCACCCACTACACCCATTACATCCACTCATTACCACAACATACACCACTACCACCTTAATTAGATGGTGGTCCTCTCCCTAGCCTATAAATACATCCACCCTTCACCATAACAAGGGGGAGGAGAAAAGATCCATCAAAAGACACTACATTCACATCTCACAACTCCACTCCATACACTTACACTTTCATTCCTTGGCCAAGAGAACACAATCCACCCATCCACCCTTCACCA